CTGCTGCAGAGCTCCTGCTCAGCACTTGGGGTGTGAGACCAGACAGCGTGATGAATGGCATACTGGCAGTCAAGAGAAGCTCCAGCAGCTGCGAAGGGAGTATTGAAAGAGAAGGAATTTGTGAATCAGACCATTTGGCTCGCCAGAGGATGATGCAGTTGTTGGAAAGGGCACTGCAAAAAAGCAGAGTGAGGTTCCACCTCTCAAGTGCGAGGTTTAGAGACAATGATGGCCCCTGGGACCTTTGGATTTTTCTGAATTCTTTTGAATTGGCTCTACTGGATTTTGCAGAAGGCACACCCCTGTTCTGCCTGTGTGCTGCTTCTCAAAAGGAGTTGAAGCAGATTACATTTCCCACAGCTCAAATGGCTTTTGTTATCAAAATAGTTCCCCAAACCGATGTTGATGTGCATGAACAACAGGAAAATGCAATCAGTAGTTGATTTAACCTCAGAACAAGTAGGAGTTCCATCACAGTTGTCAGGTCCCTCGAATGATACTGCTGCCAAGTGGATGGTGGGGCTTCTAGAAACCCCAGGAGAGCTGCTTAAAGATGTTAACTTTATTGCTAGGACATCCACCGCTCCATCTGGTCAGGCAGCTTTATCAGCAGCACTGGAGGAACTCCAGCTGCAGAAGAGAACTCACAGCACTGGGTGCGAAGGACTCTGAAAGCATTACTGGCTCCCAAACTGTTAGATTGGTTGTTTTATCTGGAGGAACAGAAAGCTGAGCAAGGACTAAGAGCAGTATTTATCAAGGAAGCAGGCACTAGGTATGAGACTCAGGTTTTATGTGGGAAGGAGCAAGGAGGCAGCCTAATTAGGAGGACCAAGAACATAAAGTTGCAGTGATTAATGGATTGGTACTGGCTGAGCAGCCACCTACCTGACATACAAACACCTACATGCAAGTCTGAGTTCATCTGGGTCAGAAACTCACAGTTCTGATGAGAAAGTGTATTAGGACTACAGCATTCCCTGATGCTAGGACTCTTGTGGAACTGTTACGCTCACCACAGCTTATACCCCTTTGCATTGACAAGCTGAGCTTCCTCTTGGACATTGTCAGGCTGTTTGCTCTCCCTGCACTGAGCTGAGGCTCCAGAACATCACTGCTCTCTTGCTTTAGAAATCCATTTCTGATTTCCAATGTGAATGTGCTCATAGAATTGTCTAGGTTGGAAGGGTCCTTTCAGATCATCTAGTCCAACCATCAATCTAACTCTGATTTAAAAACCCATCACTAAACCATGTCACTAAGCACTATGTCAACCCGTCTTTTAAATACCTCCAGGGATGGTGCCTCAACCACTTCCCTGGGCAGCCCATTCCAATGTTTAATAACCCTTTCAGTGTCAAAATTTTTGCTTATATCCAATCTGAACCTCCCCTGGTGCAACTTGAGGCCATTTCCTCTTCTCCTATTGCCTGTGACTTGGGAGAAGAGACTGACCCCCACCTCTCTACACCCTCCTTTCAGGGAGTTGTGGAGAGTGCTAAGGTTCCCCCCAGCCTCCTCTTCTCCAGGCTGAACACCCCCAGCCCATGCCTGGTTTATACTATTTTTACCTACCTCGTCCTTTAGTTCAGCAGAGTCCAGAGTAGCTTTTAGTTTCCACTGAGCGGGGATTAAAACCTATATAAAGGGTAAATCCTACTATAATAGCAAAAGCAGCTCTGATACTGTCCTGTAAATCACTGCCGGGGCACTCCAGCCTGGGCCTTTGAGGACCATATGGTGCAGCTGAGCTCACCCAGACCCCCTCACCACGGTTCTACGGGCACATCTTGCTGGGAATAAGCCTGTTGTCTTTCTTGGCTTGCATTTTGTGGGAGAAGGCAGCTTGGAACACACTACGAAACGTTCTGGCCTACACAAGAGGCTACTCTTTATTATTTTTTTCCTTCTCACATTTGCACCCATCTCTGAGGTGTTTAATCCCAACCCTTCTCAATTTAGGCAGTGTTTAGTTGTTGGTTTGGTTTTTTTTTAAAAAAAAAGGACATCAGTGTTTTTTTCATGATTAAGAAGTGTTTAAAATCTGACTACCAGCAAAAACTGCAACTTGAACAAGTATTTTATGATGCACATGCATACCAAGATTACATAAATATATAATATCTTTTTAAGGATGTTAGTAGAATATAATGGATTTTATACAAATTTTTTACTCTGAGGGTGGTGAGGCACTGGAACAGGTTGCCCAGAGAAGCTGTGGCTGCCCCATCCCTGGAGGGGTTCAAGGCCAGGCTGGATGGGGCTTGGAGCAACCTGCTTTGGTCGGAGGTGTCCCTGCCCAGGGCAGGGGGTTGGAACTCCATGATCTTTGAGGTCCCTTCCAACCCAAACCATTCTATGATTCTATGATTATACAATTTAGATATTTTTGTACTGAAGATTTTATCACTAGCTTTTTGCTCAAGACCTAGCCTGTAGCTCATAAAGCTCATAAAGCCAAAGAGGCTGGCAGGAACCAAGGAGACTGGGTACCTGACCTGTTCTATGATGAAACATACACAGAGATAGCCAAATGAGAAAGGTTAACACAGAAGACACCAGGGAGAAAACAAAATGAAAAGGAACAGTTTGTTAGAGTCTTTTTTAAATGCATCCACTTGAAGGTACGTACATGAGCTGATGTGCAAATATTAATACAGGGGGAAATCAAGGGGGATGTCAACCATGTGCCACCGTATCAGAGGAGCCCAGAAGAATTTGCCAACCAAACTTATTTCTCCTTTTCCACACAGCTGACATGAGCGAAGCTGATGTGTTTGTCTGTAATTGAGTAAATTCAGTTTCAGCTATCAATACATATTTAGAATCTGAGTAAGAAAATTTGGTGTTAATGACACGATTTCCCCATGGAAGAGGCCAAAGATAAAGCCGCAGCAACAAAAATCACTATGGAATGATGTCAGGCACATCACAAGGGAAAAAACCACCAGTTCCATCACAAAACATGAGATCTCTAACGATCAATGTGAATTATGCTTTATCTGTGCTGTTTACTCCTGTCGATTATAGTTCCATGCTAATGCACTGCACGTCTGGAACCACAGAATTTTAGAAAGACATTCCAGCACTATAACACTTTAAATAACCATGTTCCAGCACATGCTTAAGGATGCATTTTAACTCTTCAAAGAATAGTTAAAGAAATAGTTAAAGAAAGAAGTTAAATAGTTAAAGAAATGTACTCTGGGCTGCTGCCTATCGAATCACTTACAGAGATTTCCTCCAAGTTGTTGGACCCAATGTTTTATACTTACTCAGCTCCTAACATTAAAGTGTCTATGGGATACTAAATTTTTGGGGGGATTACTCTAAACCAGTGTTTTAAAGAGACATGGCTAGTTCAGTAACAGTCCCTACTACATCTAGGCAACTCCCATGATACATAAAAATGGAAACTCATAGATCAGGTATTTTAGAAATACTGCACCATTTGGGAACTGATTCCTTCTTGCACAATTTCCAATTTAAAAAAAAATGGTATCTCAACACTGCCTTATCAGAATTCTCTCCTGGAGCACATGGGGAATTTAATCTCCTTAAAAGAAAAATGGGAATTTCAATAAAATTTTAAATAAAATATTATTTTAAATATCTTTCTTTTAAAAAACGCCACCAAGCTTGCATGCCTCACTCAGTGCTCAATCACTTCAGCTAGAGCATGAAAACCTCATGAGGTACTAATTAGAAAATTACTCAAAAATGAAACACACAACTCATCACCTAACCTGAAAATACCAAAGTTAAATAGTAAAACTAATGCATTTTTGATGTTCTTTTAATTTTATAATTAAACGCATTTGAAATGTAAGTAATCTGATAAAAATTATGCTTACTCTGCTAATATCCAATTAGAAATTCTATACTGTAGCTAAAGTCACCGTCACTAAATTATGCAACATAATCTATGCCAAATTCTGGAGGAGACTACAAAAACATTGTCTTAGATAAGCTGGTAGTCTCTAAATACAAGAGTGTATGCATGACTACACAGAACTCAGGCCAAATATAGGGAAACTACATTCTTTAGTTATGATTCATACCACAGCCAGTATGATGAGATACTTAATTTTAAAAAAAACAACCAGAAAACAAGTGTCCTGTCCAGCGTGGTAGGTGTTCTTTGTCCCACAGAGTCACCTATGCCTAAAGGAGTGAAGGGAGAAGGACAGAGATGGTGGGTCTCAACAAAATGAAAGACAAACACGTGGCCAGAAATCACGGCAGCCCTTCAATGAAAGCCCTGGGGACTGGAGAGCTGTCAAAAGGTGGTGGTAATGGTGGGTAACTCCAAAGACAGCTTTAACTTAAGGGGTTGGTCTGAAGAGCTGCCCTCACCCAAGATGACAGGTGGTGATAGTACCGAAAGGAATTTGAACTCTCTGTTGCATTTTTCAAGTGTTCTGCTTTGATACAGCTACTGTCGTTGTCCTTCACACTGGCACCAGGGCTGGTACTTTTGGTTATGCTCAATGTTTCTCACCTTCCCGAGCACCTAGAACTGCACTGCTTCCCAAGCAAGCCTTGATGGAGAACCATGATGATGAAATGATGAATGTACACAACTCCACCTTTGCAGTCAAACCACAACTTAACTGAGACCTCCTTGCCATGAGTTAAGCCCCTCCTTGTTCAACAGAACCCAGCAAACACTGGGGGCTCTTGACCCACCGACAAGACATTCAGCATTACGCCTTGCCGTGGCTAAGAGAAAACTTCCCAATTCCATCTTCCCTGCTGCCTCCAGAGCTCTCTCAGCCAGGGGCAGACCAGTTATGAGCAAGGTGTAGCTCCCCTTACCTGTTTCTGGGGCACAGAAAGCTGCCTCCCCTTCAGGTCAAGCTCTTCGCACTCCCAAGAGCTGCCGACGCCACCCCCGGGCCGCGCATGCCATGGTTTGTGGGGGGACTGGGAAATAAAGGAGTTGTTCTTCCAACTAGAAACTATAATTTTTGTTAATTAAATTAAACAAAAACAGTGAATACAGAACTCAGAAAGTTAAGTTTTACTTCTTTTTTAAGTTTGAGAGTGCTCTGCTGTCCTGGCTGATCCTGTAGCATGTCTGCCCGTGTTCAATATTAAAATAAGAAGTAGTGATGTACGCCGATTACTGCAGCAGGTAGATTGTCCAGTCCTCATTTTAAGGGTCTCCTCTTGGTTTCAGTCACAGACGTACTGCTGTCAGAGGGAATCGGAGCCCAGAGCTCACATCCTTAGGACTTCCTATCTGTACATCAGGATGTCAGGGTGGAAATCCATGCAGATTCCTCGCTGCGCCGACTGCAGATGTGCAGGCTCCCAGAACAACCTTAGCAATGTAAATTCAACGTTTCAGCTACAACACCCTCTTCCTGAAGCCTTACAAAAATACCAGTGCAACATAGAGCCATTTTACAAAACAATTCTCTTTATAGAAAGGTATTTTAGTGGCATATGCTGAGGTAAATAATAAAAAGAGACCCAACGGAGGGCACGACCAGTGTTATGGAGAACTCCGGATGAAATTTGGCCAAAAGCCTGTTTTATAAAAGCTAATATTAACCTACCAGTTATGATCCCTGGTAAGGTGCTTATTGCTGCAATACTTCAAAATTAGTCTTCAGTTTACAAATTGAAAAATATACGAAATTAGATCTGTATGAATGTTAGGTATTAGCTGTCACAAATTTTAAAAGGCATTGTACCAAGTTTTCTTAATTGTTTACTAACCAATTTGATTGTAGCAGGTAAATAAACTACAGCATACATTTTACCTGACACCATGCATCAAAATCACCATAAAAACTAAGTTTATCAAAGTCCAACTCCACAAGGAAAACATGAAAAAGTGCAAATTATGTACCCAGTATTTCTGTCACAGCTGTTCTTTCTTAATATGGCATGAAAAAGGTTTACAGCATATATTAAGAAAATTCTTACAAGTGTTCACCTCAATGCTTATATATACAACATTTTGCTCAAAGTGCTCACTATATGAAAAAAAAACTGATTGGATAAAAATATTTAAACAGTGCTTTCTGAACGTTCAGGGAAAATTCATATAATACATCAGTCCCATTTGTTTTCTTCTTCACTCAGTGCAATGAGATGCAGAAGTCACATCAACTTCCCAAAATCTCTGCTTGCCACAGCGCCAGAAAACCCCAGTTACAGTGGCATCCTTGGTGTCCCATTGGGAGTGGGTCTTTTATTTTTTTGCATGTGGCTTTGATGTTTTCGAGATCTTACTACTTTCATTCTGACTTCAAATACTTCTTGTATGGCTTTTCGAAAACAATGGAAATTGTAGTCTATTAATCCTACAGAGACAAAAATGTTTTCCATATTAATAAAGACAGTTACACAAATGAGGTAATGAAAAAATTGCTTGTATTCTACATTTAGTGAAATACCACACTGTCTCTCTGGAGGTTATAAGAAGTGAATTTTCCAGGCATTTTTTTCTATGCTAAGCAAAAGCATGTTTGATAAATACAAGTAATTCAGTGAATTTGATAAATACAATTAATTCATATTCATACTATGTCTGATATTAAATATACTTCTTAGTCTTAAGAGAAAACAAATAGAAGTACAATGGCAGATAAAAAAGAGCTTTGGAGAAGTGCTGGGTATACAACAAGAAAAAAATAGAATCTTCCATAAAATACAGTGTCATTTTGTAAATTTGCTTTACAGAATAACTGTGATAAAAATAAGTAGCATCTAGTAATCAAAGAGTTTTCATTTTTTTTGACAACGCATAAGCTTTGAAGTGGATACTTGATAGAAATATTACCAAATAACAGCCAGCTATATTTCATCTTACATTGTAATTGAAAAATAACACACTAGACATGCTGTTAGTTTACATACATAATAGGCAGATAATATTACAAGTGAGTGGGCTGAATGTGATCCCCCAGAAAAGCTGTAAAGCCGTACTGGTAGTCAATTGAAGACTTACTGGGTGCTACAACTGTGTAATACTGCAATACAATTTTAGAATTTTGGTATTGAGCTTATGACCTCATTCAAAGTTAATGCCATAAGCTTTCTTAACTCAAACACTGCAGCCTTTTCCACTTCAATTTCCCTAACAGGAGATGATACGTATTTCAAGTGCTTTAAATCCACCATGTTAATGTTGTGATTTTTTTTTTTTTTTCCCAGGAATTATTTTCCCTCTCCCTAGTGTTCAGACAAAATATTACGGGGAAGCCACCATGAACCAGAAGCTAATCTGCATTATCATACCAACACGGTACAGTTAGAGAGTACAGGCCAAGCACGAAGAGTCCCAAACTGCATAGACACAACAACCTGACACAGCTGTGGACAAACCCCAATGGATGTTTATTCAACACGGTGTCTTTTCTGAAACAGTGTTCTTAGTAGGTATGTAAAAGTAATACTTCTTATGTGTATAGGAAAAAAAAAAAAGGAAAAAAAAAGTGACCACATCTAATGTTCATAGATAATAAAGGCGTTTTGGGTATTAAAGAAAATTCAACCAGTTGAAGTTGTATAAAATAAAAGCTAAACAGCAGATGGGGACACAAGCCCAGATGATGGCTCATTCTTCTGGCCCCAGGGCATTTCACTAAGACCAGTAACCTGGTAAACATCATGCCAGCGAGCACAGCAATCGTCATCTAAGGTTCCAGCACTGACCTTGTCCAGGGTCAGAGAGATAACCCAGAAATTTTATGCGCTTTAGCTGCAAAATATGAAAGCCACCTAGTTCCCAAACATGCAGCTTTTTTCAACAGCCGCCTTTTAGGGATGAGAAAAGCAAGAACATGTTTCTTTCTATCAGCTGGTTTCAGTAATTTTCCCTTAGTTATGGCACACAAGCTGTTCCAAAGGCGTATGCTGGCTCCAACAGGTACAAATCGGTGTTAGCCAAGATAAACTGACACCTTCTACTGTTGCAGATGGAAGCTTTCCTGTACTGGATGTAAACTTTCATATGCTTTCATATCAAAGATTTGTCAAATACATTTGTGATTTCATCTTATTTTAATGCCAGTACAAATACCTCATGCCTTTAAACATGTTATGTGAGCTCTATCGAGCTGTACTTACCTTTAATATTTGTGATACAGCTAGAGAATATTATCAGATAATGACAAGCACAGTTACTCATTAACTCGCTAATACAAGGGAAAAGTAATGCAATAGTAGAAAAGGGAAAAATACCTTTTCTCTCGAAGCTTTCTTCTCTGACAAAACAAACAAGAGCAAGGAATTTTGTCACCTCTTTTAAATAAAGGACAGTCGTATTGTTCAATTTTATGATTGCCATTGATTCTTTGTCATAAGGAGTTCCAGTGCCATCATCTTTAAGCCTAAAAGGCAATAATAAAAAAACAACCAAATAAGAAAAGATAAACCATCAGATGAGCAAACAAAAGTACTCCCACATTGGTTCTTTCACCAGATAATCTCAAACTTTATTAAACTTTCATTATAGCCTTTCAGGAGACTCTTCTTCAAACTACACACTACATAAATTACAAAGACATGGAAATTCAATCATTTATCCAGTCAAACACTGGGGCTAGTAATCACATTGTTTGCCAAGTACCTGAATTGGAGCCTTATTTTTTCCTCTGTTGGGTGCCAACCAATTACCACAAAGTTGTCTGTTTTCTTTTAATCAATGCACTATATGACTTTATCTGCAGCGTGTGAACCAGTAAGTCTGTACTGATAATTCCAAATCTAGTAAACCTGCTTGAGCAGTGGCAGCTGACTGATAGTTTAAGCCACTGTGAGACTTTCCTCATGAGATGTTGGTTTTTGCAACATCAAATAATGAAAAGAGATTTCTCCTTCACAGATGATGCGCCATGATGATCACTGTGTAAGTTTTATACCTTGTAATTTTACCCTTATTCCTGAGTGCACACACACATCAAATGGGTAGTTATCACCAACAACCCAGAACAATTAGTATCAATAATATATTAAGGTAGTGAGTTCCACAGATGCTCCAGGAACAGAGCAGAAGAAATGAATTGCAATATCATGTCTTTAGTCTATATCTAAAAACCATGGCAAGCAGATTGCTGGTGATAAGTGTTAAATGATAACACAAGGACAGTGATAGAGTGACATTTTGTGAATAGAGAGCCCCACAAGTGGTGTTGTACCCATAATAATTAAACACATAGTCTTTTGAACTACACAGCAGTGTCTTTCTCTGTAAAAAGGAAAAAATGCCACAGAATCAGCATCCCTTATGGTGTACCTCTGTAAAATCCAACTTCTTGTACAGTTACTGAAGTGACCAACTCAAAAATCCAAAACATACAGTAGAACATGCAAACTTCAGAAATTTTTGAAAGGTATTCCACAATGTGTTGTTCTTTTGAAGTTGTAATGCTTCGTGCACATCTGCACTAGGATTCTCCCTCCTACCTTCTCCAAGAGAGCAACAAGTCTACCACCGGGTAAGAAGGCAAGGCTACCCGAACCAAAGACCACCACACTTGAAGTGTGCTGTGCTTTAGCCTCCCAAGTCTGTGCATCTTAATGCACTAATTCTTAATGTGCCCCTGCCTTGCCCAGGAACAGCTTGGCATTACACCTGGCCAGGGACCAAGCCATTTAAAACAGCACTTGCAAGGAGATGTACACGCTACCCCAGGAGATCTCCAGTTGCTCGTGTATAAGGAGGGGAAACTGGGGAAAAAACCCACCAAGGTCACCTAGAGAAAAGAGGATTAACAGAGAACTAAAGCAAGAGTGAAGCAGGTTTCTAAGACCAGTAGTGGCCACTAACTATTAAACTCAATATGACACCACTTTTTTCTTTTTTTTTTTTTTAAAAAAGAACAAAAGTACAGATGTGATTATAGTGCTGATGTGGTAACTGCAGTCGGAGATAACTTTTCTCATTAAAATCATGAATTTAAGCAAACAATAAGCTATG